AAACAAAAGAGAGCAGGAAACCTGGAGGGTGTTTCAGGAGGGAGGAAAATGGAGAGGAAAAAAAAAGAAAAGAAGGGTGCAATGAACATTACGTACCAAATCCTGATTCCATTGAAGTTAATGGCAGTTTAATGGGACTTTAATAGGATCAAGTTTCATACCAGTGGGATAATACTGTTTTCTGTTTCATCTCCCATCTGAGGATTTCAAAGAAATTGTAAACATTAAGCCTCACAATAGCTCTATGAGGTAGGCAAGGAGTATTGGCTGCACTTTAGAGCTGGGGAAACTGAGGCACAGAGAGATGATGGACTTCCCCAGGGTCCATCAGCATGGCAGTGGCACAGCTGTATGCATATCCCAGATCTCCTGACTTCCAGTGCTATGTGCCATTCACAAGACCTTTCTGCTCTGTATCTTGGCGTTTGTTGGCTTTTAGCCACTCTTGTTAACTGTCATGAACCAGAGCGCAGTCATTTGCTAGGAACACTGAAAACCATCCTGCCCTCTTCTCTCTATCCCTCCCCACCTGCTACCAACCATTCCCAGTACATCCAGCCAAAATCATGCTACATCCCTGCCACTCCACTGATCCTCAGGCAACGTGAACAAACTGGCCTGTATGCCATGCAACATGCAGGGCAGAAGCTGCCAAGAAAGGTGCCAAGTATGAACAGCTTAATTTCTTAGCTCTGGGAAGGGAAGGTTTCACCAGGTACAGTCCAACTCATGGTCTCAAGGGCTCATGGGAAGACGAGAACTGCCCAGTGCACACAATACTAACTGGAGCACTTCAGCAAAGCTGTGAACCCAGCAAAACTTCCTCCTCACCTCCTAATACTGCTCAGCACCACTGAATCTGCTCAGAATGTGCAGTGTCCCAGACCTCCTGGGATTAACAATGCTCCATTAGACTCTCACCATTTGGAGTATACAGCAAGGTGGAGATATGCAGCTAGGTGGCACAATCTGAACCTTGGCCCCAGACATCAGTTTAAAGACCCTGTTAAAAATAATAATCCCTGCACAACAAAGTACAGAATGACATGGCATATTGAGCCACACACAGGAAAAGGCCAACACCAGTACCTTGGTCAGAGTGGAGCTAGCCACATTCTTCTCGGTTACAGGTTTTAAACAACCCGTACCCCCTCCCAACACAGAACCCATCCTAGAGCCCAGGATAGAGATAATTAGAGGAGCTTCCTTTCTCTTCCACTAGGTGCCAGTCTTCAGCCATAAATAAAGAAAAGCAGTGGCCTCCTTAAGTCAGCCTGGGTCCAATTTTACCTGGTAGATGCTCACTAGATCCTACCTACAGCAAATTGTAGAGAAACCCTGGTTGGGGTTACAATAAAAGCCCCTGACTGAATGCACTGCACACTCCTTAGTGCAAGTCTGCTCCCAGCAATTCCTCTCCATAGAGCACAGTTGTTCAGTGAAAAAGACTTTGCTATGAAAGGAATCCAGCATGGCACAGCTGAGAGCCAGGGCAGGAAAACACACTGACAATATAATAGGGTTTGTCACACGCCAGTGATCATCGCAGGAAGGGACGGGGGTGTACTCTGCAGCCACAAGGCAAACTACTGCAGATGATCACCAGCACTGGATTCCTATCCCATATCCACCCTGGCCTCTCCCTAGGAGGTGAGAGGCGTGTCTCATTTTCTCCTGAAGTATTTGCCCCTGATGAAAATACCGTGTTTAGAGGCTTGTGTTAATGTTGCTTCTGTCAGTCAAAACAGCTCTCAAGTGGAAGGATTTTTCCAGGCTTATGAGCACTTTAGATCATTTCATACCTCGCACATCTCCCCTGATCCAATTTGTCAAATCATGTTAATCGTTTCACACAGAGTAAATCCAAAAAACGGCCAAAATTGTGAAAACGGCCTGGAAACCTGTAGCCACCAGCTATGGAATCTGCCTACAGGCACCAGCTCCAGGAACATCAGAAAGACAAACAGCGTTGAACTGTTGCAAGTTCTGACACATCTTCGCAGAGGGAAGTAAAGACAAGCCACTCTTGTTACGGCCATCCTCAGAAATCAGTGTGAGGCTGTTTCCAGCCTGAACAACAAAATGATTTTAAACAGCCGTTTTTATTACTAATGGCACAATTATTTTAATACTTATTGTAATGAGCCCACAACCATTGGGCTTCCAGCCACAAAGATCATCAGCTAAATCAAACACACATGTACTGAAAAGAGAACTCCCTGCCCCTGCTCTCTGTACAGAGGCCCTTGCAGATTCCTTCTACTTGTCAATAGTATTTAGCTGCCTATTACCTTTACCAGCTAAAAATCGCTGAATCCATTCATGATCTACCAAAATAAAAGCTAAGGCTCCCCATATTTCAAGATATAATCTGGGCACTTACAGCCAGGAAATGAAGAAGAAACCTACACCTTGTGCTACACCAGGTCCCATTTTGATCATGTATCCTTAAAACCTCAGATATTTAAGATGCATAGAAGACTTGAATGTGACAAAACCCTTGCTGTGAGATGCCACAAATATTGGCACGGAAGAGCCCATTAGCAAGTATTTGTGTGGCAAGCAGGCAGAGATGCTGGGTAGGAGATGAGGGAAAGCAATGACTACCTTGCTGTCTTACTTAGGAGCAAAATTCCACAAAACTTAAACACCCCAACTCTTGATCTGAAATATCCTTCTGAAGAAAATGGTACCATGTCCATAACCAGGAAGGGAAATTGAAATGTAGCACCATTTTGGCATGGCACGTGAGCCTCCCTGGAGAACTTACAGCTGAACAACCCTTCAAGAACTGTGCCCTGTATTAGTGCACAGAGGAAGAAGACACCAAAAAACCAGCCCCAGCTTCTGGGTGCTGAGCAGAAACCCAAGAAATCCAGTGTTTGCTAAATGGGGAAGGCCCATATCTGAAAAGTTATAGATTCATGAAATGACTGCTGGGCCTGTGAGAGACAGCTCCACACAGCAGAGTGGACCAAAACTCCCCTTAAGAAGAGAAGGCTATTTTAATACACTTCCATGTATCCCTTTGAATAAACCAATCACAACAACCAAGAGGATCCCGAAAGAGAGAGAGAGAGAGAACTTAGTCCGCAGGCAGGAAACAACCCCACGGAGAATAACAGAGGCAGGAAACAACTCCAAATTACTGGTTTACAAAGAAGACCCATAAAGACTGAACCACCTGGAAGGGTCATGGCTGCTGGGTGGTTCAGAAAATATTTTAAAAGGCCAATCCAGCTAACACTGAGTCTTCCCAAGGATCAGTCTTATCACACACCAGCACCAGGCCATGGAGGCAGAAGGCCCTAAAGCCATTCACAGTAGCCAGGAAGGCCAGTTTGTCTCTGGACACAGATATACACAAGTCTGAAGGCAGACTGTGGAAGAAGTTTGTGCATCATTACTGAAGAACCCAATGGTGGCCAGCATGAGGCACGGCTCCAGCAGTGGTCCAGGGTATATGAAAAGCTCATTGTGGGTGTCCAAAGTGCACGGGGCTGATACTCTCATTGGTTCCCCTTGCTTTCCTCATAAGCAAAGTGTTCCTGCTTACCCTGTGATTTTACCTCAAGATGCAAAGGCCTTCTTCACACAGTTGAAGACCAGATGGCACTGGAGACCAGATGGGCACATTGCTGCCAGGTCCCTCTGGCTGATAAAATACCTACAGCTCCTCTGCTCCCATCGTGCTACCTACCACCGGAAGCTCAGGGTCTAGCTCACAGCAAAGTGATCACACAGCAAGAGCAAGGCATCAAAACGGTGGAGTTGCTGTAGGGCCCGGGCCAGGACAGGAACGGTGACTGTGTCCCCTGAGGAGGTGAGGTGAGTGACCAGCTGCTCAAATCCAGACATCTTGCTCACCAGGTGGGCTGGGACCCCTAGCTCCATCCCCACATGGCTGAAATTCTTTACACCAGGTAAAGAAGGGTCCAACTGGAAGCCAAGCGACAGCACCAAGGAGTGAGGGAGCTGTGCTATCGGGAGACCTGGGGATGGCAGTACAAGAAAGTGGGGTGAGTCTCTTATCAGCTAGAGCAAAGGCACCCAGCAAATAGGGTGGCCAGGATCATATCACTTCCTAATGTCCATGCTTCTGATAAGACACTGTAACATATTTAGCCTTGCCCCACCTCGCAGACACCTCTGCCACCCAGAGCATTTGATTTTAGTACTCAGCATCATGGAGCCAAGCTCTCATCCCTGGAGAGGGAGGGGGCTTAACCCTCACTTTTAAAAGAAGGGAATGGTTTAATGAGTGTCATAGAAAGGCCTGCATTAAAATCTGTTCCCTGAATCCATAACCACAGGACAATGAAAGAGATGCACATTCCTACAGAAACTGGCAATGCCATGCTGGCCTGGGTGGGCCGCTGCAGGCTCTCTTTTTCCTAGGGCCTAGCTCCCTCCACTCTGACCCCTAGTGAGCAAAAGCATGACCAGAAAATACAACCCAGACATTTTCTCACCTTGTGTAGTGCTGGTGATCCCAGTCACAAGACTCCGGGTGTCATCCACCTGATAAGACACAGCCCCCAAGGTTGGGGAGATTCATCAGAGAATGAGCAACAACCACATGTGGGTCTTGTCAATGCCCCTAGGACCCATGGTGCACCTAGCAGGGGCATAACTGTTGTTCTGTATGGTATTAATCCTCCACAACCCCAGTAAGAGCACTATGTCCTTCCAGCAAACCACATTTTCAAGCATTGCTTGAATCTAAACTATTACATCATTTGCTGAGTGGGACTTTTTTGCATCTCAGAAAGCACACCTATTCATTACTAACTGGTAATGAGAACTGGATGGCTCAAGGGCCTGAGAATCAGGAATTTTTCATCTCCAGATCAACGTTCTACATGGGCAAATCTGCAAGGTTGATTCATTTACAAGTGATGCTAGAGTCAGGTGGAGTGCAAGGCTCATGCCTAACTAAAGATACGCTTGTATTTTCTATGAAGGGACTCTGCCCTTGTGCCAGGCTGGGTATCTTGAACCCTGCTGAGGTGAGCAGTGGCTCCATGTCCCATAGTTTTTTGATTATCCTGTGAAACGAGTTGGTAGGGCCTACATCAGTTCTCTGCAAAGGGGCATGTCCATTTCACTTAAACCCCCACAATTAACTAATGAGGATGCAATTAGATTTCTGGTAGATCACTGGATTTTTGAGCTGCTCACCTGACCAGTGGGAGCTGGGCTGAGCTCTTTCCCAAACTCAGATTACATATCACTGACAAGTCATCACATGGTGACTGGCCAGTGCTGAAGCTGAACCACCTGCAGGGGAAAGGTTCTGTGCTCCCAGCTCTGTTGTCCCTTCCCTCCCTGTGTCAGGCCCATAATGCTATTGTTTTTCATACAGAGGGGTGAGGTGGGGTGAACTTACTGGCTGCTCCCCACTTTCAGCTGTGGGGTTTCGGCAGGCTGGGGACAAGCCCCTGGCAGGCTCCATAACGAATCCACACTTTGCTTCAAGGGTTAACTCAGATTTAGCTCTTGGGACTGTTTGAGCCACCTCATTTGCTGCATCCTCCTGCCTTCCAGTGCCCATGCACTCAGCCTGCGTGGAGAATTTCTGCAGGTCTAGCTCGGTGCACTCCACTGGGGCATGGGGCCATTTGTGCTGCATCTCTGAGGCACATGATGAGAGAGGGGCCAGGGCTTCTGTGAACTCAACTGGGCCCTGCCTGACATCTGAGGAAGACAAGCCCCCTGCAGAGCCGTCGCTGCACCCTGAGTTCCTTATCAGGGGTTGGGTCTCCAAGACACTCCTCGCCAGCTGGGATTTGGGACTGGGGCTGCTGGCAATCACCTGGGACAACTCCAAATCATGGTGGGCAGCAGGGAACTGAAGGCCAACAGTTTCTCCATCAGAAATAAACTGAATCACTTCAGCTGGACCTGAAACCAAAAGAATCGCGAATTAAAAGTCTCTGGGTTCCCCCTTGCAAAGCTTCCTATCTACACTGCTTTAGGCAGCTGCCAGTCAACAACTCCATTAAACCCCATCTTCCATGTAGCCTCACACCGCAACCGCCTGTCTCTCGGCTCAGAGGCGTAGGCAGAACTCCCTTCGAATCCTAAGAGTGCCTTATATCCACAGGGTAGCAGTCAGCACTGCTGACCAGACCAAGTCACTACTACTGTAAAGACCAGGGCTCCCTTCTCCCTAACAGGAGAGAAAGACATTGAACCTAGAGGAAGTGAGACTAGTGCTAGTGCAGTGTCTGCTAAGAAGGAGACTGCAGTGAGAGGTCAGCACAGCCCTCAAAGCCTGGGGACGTTTCTGAACTCACCAGGACTTCTGCCATCCACAGCCCAAAAGAAAATTCTTAGCATAACCAAGCTCTGTCCATGTTGACCGTCCCAGTAACTAACCCCAAGGACATTGAACCCAGGAGTTAGAGATGAATGGGAGAATAGTTTGTGGTGACAAAGATATTGATGATCCTTAGCACTGGATGCTCCTTTCTGGCTGAGAAATTGACCCCTCCCTGAAACCCAAGAAAAAGCAGAACAGCAATAACAACAGTTACCTTCTGCTTGCCTGTAGCAAGGGCTCAGTTTCTTCATACCCAAGCAGCATGGACTAGTCATCTGTTCCTCACATGGAAACCTGCCTGGAGTGGCTGAGGCCTGGAACATCGCTCTGTGTCCGGAGAAATTCTGAGTCCTCAGAAAAACTTTAGAGTATAAAAAGAAACCAATACAAGTGAAGATCTGGCTTAATTTCCCACAATGCACTATGCCATTTGTCTTGGCAATTGAGTCAGTGAATGATAAAAGCCTGGCATGGAGGATGAAGCATTTCTCATGCACTCGTGCCAATGTACTTCCATGCTACCCAACCGACTTCCTACAGGCCTTTCTACAAGCACCTCCATGATTCTTTTGATCTAGAACCCTGCAAACCCTGCCACATGCCCTGAAAAAAGCCCAAGGTGAGAGTGTCAAAGTTAGCATCACATGGGCTAGGGTCAGAAGTTACACATAAACTGGTTTAAGTGATCAGAAACTGGTTTAAAACTGTAACAGAACAGAAGCTCAGTGTACATACACCAGTTTCAAAATGGCTGAAACTGGTTTAAGATAAACCTGACTGAATGTAGTATCAGACTTAATTGATTTGGTCAAACCGGTTTATGAAACTTCTGTCCCAACCCCCTTCCTAGTTCTAGTTAAAACAGTCTCCCAGCTTGTTTTCCAGCCCTGGGCTGGGCTGGGCTGGGCTGGGCTGGGCTGTCTGCT